TTTGCAGCAGCATGTAAATTTGCTGCTTTGGGGAACAGTCCTGTCTAACTCCGCTATCCCTTTTCTGTGCTGTAACCAAGAGCTCACACTCTGCTTCAAACAATTTTCTTCATCGTATAACCCAACCCTCGTCTGTACTGGAGGGCATCTGTCTGTTCGCACATCTTCAGCACATCGTCCTCTCCAGTCGTAGATTAATTCATTGATTCCTATCAGTGCTCCTTGTACATGACACCTAATTACTCTCTAGCCTAAATATTAACTAAAAATGTTTTACATTCTGCATATCCTTTCACCTCCTAATTCCATTTTTTTGGACTCTCCTGAGGAACTAGTAATGGTTGTGCTTAAAGCATTAGTTTCAGCACTGATTATAAGAACAAAGAGTTTAAAACAATAAATGAATTTTTAAAATATATCCATACAATTTGCTGTTCTTTGATACCACAAAATAATGTAACAGAAGATTCTATGGAATAAAAAAATGCACGGTATATATATTTAGAAAGCAGGTTAGGGACTTCCCTGGTGGTGCGCGGTTAAGAATCTACCTGCCAGGAATAAAGACACAAACGTAGAGAATGGACCTGAGGACACGGGGAGGGGGAAGGGTAAGCTGGGACAAAGTGAGAGAGTGGCATGGACATATATACACTACCAAATGTAAAATAGATAGCTAGTGGGAAGCAGCTGCATAGCACAGGGAGATCAGCTCAGTGCTTTGTGACCACCTAGAGGGGCGGGATGGGGAGGGTGGGAGGGAGAGGCAAAAGGGAGGGGATATGGGGATATAAGTATACATATAGCTGATTCACTTTGTTATATAGCAGAAACTAACACAACATTGTAAAGCAATTATACGCCAATAAAGATGTTAAAAAAAGAAGAATCTACCTGCCAATGCAGGGGACATGGGTTCAATCCCTGGTCTGGGAGGATCCCACATGTCTCGGAGCAACTAAGCCCATGTGCCACAACTACTTAGCCTGTTCTGTAGAGCCCGTGAGCCACAACTACTGAGCTTGTGCTCTAGAGCCCGCAAGCCACAACTACTGAGCCCATGTGCCACAACTACTGAAGCCTGAGTGCCTAGAGCCTGTGCTCCGCAACAAGAGAAGCCACTGCAATGGGAAGCCCACGCACCACAATGAAGAGTAGCCCCCGCTCACCACAACTAGAGAAAGCCCGTGTGCAGCAACGAAGACCCAATGCAGCCAATAATAAATAAATAAATTTATTTTTTAAAAAAGAAAGCAGGTTATAAAACAGTTTATGGTCAGAAAATACTGTTATATTTTTGTGACTCAATAAATAAATACAGATACACAGAAAAAGGACTTGAAGGATAGAAGTTCAATGTTTATGTTTCTGGGTGGTTGGATTACTGGTAAATTTTTACTTCTTTCTCTTGATAAGCATTTTCTAAGTTTACCACAGTGAACATGTACTGCTAGCATATTGGGCAAAACCCCAGTAAATTCTGTAGTGGTGATTTAATAATCTGTGGCCTAGAACAGGAATTCTTTACTAGCGCTTAAGGATCCAGATATGGACTTTGATGGGGATGGCTATAAAACCCTTGAACCTATGTGCAAAATGTTATTTGTATGTGCAACTCTGTGTGTGTGTGTGCATTTGGGGAAATGAAGGAAGAGGTTCTGATAGCTTTCATCTGTTCTTAAAGAAAACCATGATCCAAAAAAGGTTAAAACTACCAGTCCAGAATTTTGCTTGCCCTTATCTCAATTTCTCCTATTTAGGGGTGGGGCATTCATTATGTAAAGCATGGAGGGACAGATAATTTGGAAGAGGAATTACCAATTTTTTTTTTTTTTTTTTTTTTTTTTTTTGCGGTACGCGGGCCTCTCACTGCTGTGGCCTCTCCCGGTGCGGAGCACAGGCTCCGGACGCGCGGGCTCAGCGGCCATGGCTCACGGGCCCAGCCGCTCCGCGGCATGTGGGATCCTCCCAGACCGGGGCACGAACCCGTGTCCCCTGCATCGGCAGGCGGACTCTCAATCACTGCGCCACCAGGGAAGCCCAGAATTACCAATTTTGATTCAGTTATTTTGCACACCTGAAAATTTCTTTATCTCAGGGGATGCATGAAAATTTCAAAACTCCCTTAAAAAAAAAATGAAGTGAAAAACGTTGGATATAACTTTTTTTTTTTTTTTTTTTTTT